ACTTGGCAAAATAGGTCTGAGATTTATCTATGCTGTACGTATCATTGGTTTGTTCGTTTATACTGTCAAGTAATATTCCATTGCATTAGATGCATCCGTTCATTTATTGGTCAAAGGTTGTTTTTGCTTTTATGCCTGCTATAAATAATGTTGCTATAAATATTTGTATACAGATTTTTCGTAAGCACAGCTTTCACTTCACTTAGCTAAATACTGCCGGGTCGTAGTATATGGGTATGTTTCACTTTGTAAGAAATTGCCAAACTGTTCTTCCAAGTTGCTGTATGATTTTGCATTCCCACCAGCAGTGTATGAGAGGGGGGTTCATTTGTTCCACATGCTTGTCAGCATTCGGCATCGCCAGGGTTTTGTTGTTGTTTTTTGGGTTGTTTTTGTTTTAGCCATTCTAGTAGGTATGCTGTGGTATCTCTTGGTTTTTATTTGCAGCACCTTTCTGACTAATGATGGTGAGCATCTTTTTATGTGCTCATTTACTATTCTATATCTTCTTTGTTGACTTGTCCAGATTTTTTGGCCATTTTCCTAATTGGTTGTTTGTCTTACTAAATTGTAATAATTTCTTGCCTGTTCTTGGATATCATGTATTTGATAGACATATATGTACTGAATATTTCTCCCATTTTGTGGCTTATCTTTTGATTTCTTAACAGTGTCTTTCAAAGAGCAGTTTTTAATTTTGATGAAGTCCAATCTAACAACTACTATATGGTGCATGCTCTTTGTGTCTTAATTAAGAATTCTTTGTGTACCCACAGAGTCATGAACACTTTCTCCTATGGATTTTTTTTTCCACTTTTTTTTTTATTTTTTATTTTTGGGACAGAGAGAGACAGAGCATGAACGGGGGAGGGGCAGAGAGAGAGGGAGACACAGAATCGGAAACAGGCTCTAGGCTCCGAGCCATCAGCCCAGAGCCTGACGCGGGGCTCGAACTCCTGGACTGCGAGATCGTGACCTGGCTGAAGTCGGACGCTCAACCGACTGTGCCACCCAGGCGCCCCTCTCCTATGGATTTTTTAAGAAGCTTTCTTGTTGTGGCTTTCAAATTAGGTCTGTGATTAATTTTGTTACATTGTTTTCCCACATGGATAGCTAATTGTCCTAGCACCATTTGTTGAGAAGACTATCCTTTCCCGATGGAATTGCCTTGGGAACATCTTTGTTGAAAATCAATTGACAGTGTGTCTAAGAGTCTGCTTCTGGATGTACTCTGTTCCATTGATTTATTATATTAGTCTTTTTTTTTTTTTTTAATCAACCCTACATTGTCTTTATTGCTGTAGCTTTATTGTTAAATCTTAAAATCAAATAGTGTAAATCATCCTACTCTATTCTTTGGGAAATATATTTGGCTTTTCCAGATCATTTGTATTTCAATGTATATCATAGAATATGTGTCATATTCTCAATTTTTATAAAATACCCTGCTGGAATTTTGATTGGATTAACTGTATCAATACTTCAGTTGTTTTTTTTTTTAATGTTTATACATTCTGAGAGAGAAAAAGCGCGTGCCCATGTGTGAATGGGGGAGGGGCAGTGAGAGAGAGAGAATCCCAAACAGGCTCCATGCTGTCAGTGCAGAGCCCAGCGTGGGGCTCCACCCCACGAATGGTGAGATCATGACCTGAGCCGAAATCAAGAGTTGGATGCTTAATTGACTGAGCCAGCCAGGTGCCCCTCAGTATTTCATTCTTTTCTGTGTCTGCATAATATGCCATTGTGTGAGATACATCTATGTTGTTTAACCATTCACCTGTTGGATGAACGAATAGGTTTATACTCTTTCGCTATTGTGAATAGTGCTGCTACGACTATTCATGTATACGTGAGTAACTGTTTTCACTTCTTTTGGGTATATATCTAGGAGTAGAAATGCTGAGTCATATGGTAATTCTGTGTTTAACTTTAGAAGAATTACTGAACTGTTTTACACAGCTGTTACACTGTCTTACAATGTTGGAGGGTTCCGGTTTTTCCACATCTTTGCCAACACTTGTTATTTTTCTTTCTTTTAATTATCGCCATCCTAGTGGGTGTGAAGCGGTGTCTCACTGTGATTTTGATTTCCATTCCCCTGGTTACTAACGATATTGAGCATCTTTTTGTGCTCTGTTGGCCAGAACATCTTGGGGGTTCTGTCGTATATCTTCTTTGGGAGAAATGTCTTTTCATGTCCTTGCCTGTTTTTTATTTGGATTGCTTGCTATTGTGTTGTAAGAGCTGTTTATATATTCTGGGTATTAGACCCTTGTTAGGTATGTAATTTGCAAATATTTCCTTTCATTCTGTAGGTTCTCTTTTCATTTTCTTGATGTTCTTTGATGCAAAAAAGCGTCTAGTTTTTATGAAGTCCAATTTAGCTTATTTTTTCTTTTGATGTTCATGCTTTTGGTGTCATATCTAAGAATTCACTGCCAAATCCAAGGTCATGAATATCAGCCTCTATGTTTGTTTTTTTTTAAGTTTTATACTTTCAGCTATCCTATATTTAGATTGTTAATCCATTTTGAGTTAATTTTCATATATAGTGTGAAGAGAGGTCCAGTTTCATTCTTTAGCATGCGGATATCCACTTGTCCCAGCACCATATTTTGAAGAGACTAGATCTTTCTTCATTTGCGTGATGTTGGCATCTTTGTTGAAAATTAGTCGACCATAGATGTGTGGGTTTATCTGGGCTTTCGGTTTTATTCCTTTATGGGCACCTGGGTGGAGCAGTTGGTTAAGTGTCCGACTCTTGAGCGTGGCTCAGGTCATGATCTCACAGTTTGTGAGTTCGAGCCCCACGTTGGGTTCTGCACTGCTGGTGCGGAGCCTGCTTGGAATTCTGTCTCTTCCTCTCTCTGCCCTTCCCTAGCTTGTGCGTGCGTTCCTTGCTCTCTCTCTCTCTCTCTCTCTCAAAAAAAAATAAAAACTTAAACAGTTTTATTCCTTTGGTATATGTCTGTCCTCATGGCAGTACCACACAAGCGGATAGTTTTTATCTATGGGATACAGGCAAACCTAGGAGATGCTGTGGGTTAGGCCCCAGACTACCACGATAAGGCAACTATCGCAATAAAGCAAGTCCAATGAAAAATTTGGTTTTCCAGTGCATATGAAAGTTATGTTCACACTATACTGTAGTCTCTTCAGTGGGCAATAATATTACATCTAAGGAAAACAACGTATATACCCTAATTTAAAACTACTTTATTGCTAAGAAAATGCTAACCATCACCTGAGCTTTTAGTGCGTCATAATCACTCATCACCATGACAAATATAGTAATAATGAAAAAGTTTGCAATAGTGTGAGAATCACCCAGATGTGACACAGAGACACAAAGTGAGTGAACAGATGCTGTTGGAAAAAATGGTACCAGTAGACTCTCTTGATGTAAGGGTTGCCACAAAACTTCATCTGTCAAGAACACAGTAACTGTTTGTGCAGTAAAGGGAAGGGAAGCACAATAAAATGAGGTATGCCTGTACATTAGTGTATTAATATTTCAAGTTTTGATTACATTTTAGAAATTTTTTAAAGGTTGGATAAGTTCATTAAAGAAATTATCTCCTCTAAGTGCCAGATTTATAACAACACACATATGCAAACTTAGTGGATACTTTTGTTTAAAAAGTTTTGGTGTGTCTTAACCATTTCTCTGGCTGCGTACAGAATAATGATTTAGATATGCAGTCTATTATTAGGATGTGTTCTAATTGAATTTTGACTATGGGTTAAACTTACCTTGAGCCTTTAAATGAGGAGCTAGTTACATAAATAAATTCAACCCGCCAGAAGGTGTTGGCGCTGGCTGTAGAAGAATTAGAACAGGAGCAGTTCAGATGTGCATCCATTAGGAAAAGGAGTCATATCTATAGTTTCTAGAGGAAAAAAATGGCTGGGAACTCTGCTTTTTACTGGAGTCATGGTTTTTAAGTTTAATCCCTACAACCAAAATTTTAGTACCTGAAGAATCAGAATATGATATGCCTCTGAAGTCTCTTTTAATGTATAACTTCTCTCTTCCCCTCTTTTTTCCCCAGGGTAATTTATTTACTAAAGAAACTGAGTTGTTCTGTTGTTTCCCACAGTCTGGCTTTTGCTGATTGAATCCCTATGGGCAGGCAGTGTAATACATTCCTCTGCAGTCTTTATTTCCTGTAAATTGGTAGTTTGACATGATAGAAACTTTTTTGTTACATGTTCACTTCATAGGTGATGTTTGTGGCTTTCATCAGGAAGTACATAAATACCTGCTTATCTCCCTTTTTATGATATTAACTAATTTTACTTTGATTCATTTTAGTTTTGGCAATTTGAAGGGTTTGAGAGACAGGGTGGTGTAAGATGTTAAGATTTAAGCTCTAGAGCCCAAGAATCTGGGTTCGTGTTTTGATTTCTTATCTACTGGTTCTCTAATCTTGGAAAGTGACTTTCCCTTATGAGCATCAAGTTTCTTATCTGTGAAATGGGGATGATGATGCCTGTTCATGAGGTCGTTTTGAGCGTTCAGTGAGAAAATGCGTGAAAAAGAACCTTGCACAGAGCCTAGCATATAGTCAGTGGCCAATAAATGTTACCTATTCTGTGACTTTAAAAATATTCTAAACTAATCTGAAAGGTTATAAGTGAAATTTATAAGTGAGGAGATTAAGTTTGGATAGCTGTTTTTTGGGGAGTTTTTTGTTTTTGCTTCACCTGTGTTTATTAAGGGAAAAAAGGAAGTCAGTTATTCAGCTGAGGTGACTCGCTCTCCTTTGCTCCCATCAATGTGTATAGTTGCATTTAGTAACCATTCATAATAAGCTTAATTTCAAAAGTGATTTTTGCCCATGCTTCCTAAGGCTTCACATTATCTGGCCCTCACTTAGTTTTGGAAAACAGGCTCTTTCTTGAACAGACTGTACCATAGCACATTTTATGCATGAAGTCCACCAAGAAATACTCACTGTTAATGTTTTTATTTTGCAGTGTAATGTTCAGGCTCAGAAATGCCTTATGTGGATCGTCAGAATCGCATTTGTGGTTTTCTAGACATTGAGGAAAATGAAAACAGTGGGAAATTTCTTCGAAGGTACTTCATACTGGATACCAGAGAAGATAGTTTTGTATGGTACATGGATAATCCACAGGTTTGTAAAATCCAAACGGTCACCTTTTTTCCAAAACTCACAAGAGTTTTAATTATTCAAGTATTTAACATACCATCTGGTGTGAGGATTTGTCCTACTAAATAAACAATATATGTTTAGATTTATTTCTACTGGCTGCGTTCTTTCTGTCTGCACCCTCAACTCCTGCTATCGTATTTGAATTTCAGAAGATGAAACTAAGTTTATTTAATAAAAATTTATGCATGCATATCTGGGGTTCCCCCCCCCCCCCCTTGGGAGAGAAATGCTGTCTCTGGTAGAAAATACATAAATCGTTTAAATTTAAGAGACTTTCTCTAGAGACTACTGTCTTTTGTTTCTTTGGTAAAGAAACTACATCACCTAGTTGACACTTCCCGTGGGTAGTCCTTTCATCCTGCAGGGTCAGATTTGAGTGTCAGTAAGTGTCATGCCATTCAGGAACTGAAATGCACTTTGATTTTATTGTTGCCTTTCAGATCATTGGGGAAATGTCATAAACTAAAACTTAGAATCCCCATTTTAAGATCTGTAAAAGACCTTGGACTGGAGAGTATCTGTCGAGTAGTTTGTAAATTTTCTCTACCTGTGAAACTCTTCATTCAAATTGGGGTGGATGTTGCAAGGAGTCCCTAGCAGACGTCTAAGCTGGTTTGGTCTGGTGGGTGAGAGACTCTTAGAGTCGAGGGAGGAGCGGGGACTGGTGGGAGGTTCCATTCTGTTCCACAGAGAAGGAACTAGATCTCCTGACAGCCAAGCTAGTATTCTTTACCAGTGTGTACTTATTTTAGGTTAGACAAAATACTTATTTATTTGTATTTGTTTATTTAGAAGTCAAGTTGTAAGAGACTTGAGTATAAATTTAACCTCCTCTTTAATGTAGGAAAACTGTCTATCCCTAATCTTCACTTTAGCTGTTGTTCGTATTACACATTATCAAAAAGTACTTACTGTATTTGAGACACTTCAATTATTATTTGCTCTGTGAGCCAAAATCTGTCTCCTTGTATTTGCTACCCATTAAACCTACTCTGTCCTCTGATTCTCTATAAACTTTAGTCCTTTTATTCAGACACAGCCCTTGAAATTTTGGAGGGTAATTTGTATTTTAATTCAGTGTAGATTATTTGAGTGCTGACTTTCAGACTTTTTTCCCTAGGAGTGGTCTACGCTCTATCCTTATTCTTAATCGAGTTTATTGATTCTGTTTTACTCTCTTATCTCTGGGTGTAACCACCTTTCTTGGGTGATAGTAACCTGGCTATACAACTGTATGATTAATACCTTTATTTACTTGTCCAGAGTCAGTGGGAGAAGGAACAGGTCAGCAGAAATCAGAAGTTCATGTTTGCCTTTTTTTTTTTAACATCAGATTTCTCCCCTTTATGACCCCATCTTTTTATCTGTGGCATAATCCCCTCCCAAACTCTCTTTCGCAAAGAGGAAAGTAACTTCGTTCCCCTTGACTCCCTCTAATTACTAGTTTCCAGGGAACGGTTCTCCTCTCCCTTATGAGCCGTTGCACAGTCTGCCTGTGCTCTTCCTGGTTTGTCTCTCTGCGAGATCTGATGGACCGATATGTATGGTTTCTCCTGAATTGTATTTAAAGCTCCTTGATTATTCTTCTTCCTTCATATATAATGGATTCTCCTCCTCAGAATTCCTCCTTTCATCAGCACTTCCCACTTCAAGCTAGAAGAAGGTGGGCACAAAATGGACTATGTTTATTACGCCTAAGGAAACATGAACTTGGAATTCAGTTAAGGTCTTCACGGAAGTAGTAGCATTCGGAATTGACCCAGAAGGGTGGGTACGATTTCGGCCAAGAGATGGAGAAGTGGGTCTTCCCACTCTTAGTGCTCTAACAATAGCATGGACAAAGAAATCCAAACAAGGAAGCCTGTGGTGTATGTGGAGAATAGGTCACTTTGGCTATAGCAGGCAGGGTGTATGTTGAAGTCTGCACTCAGCTAGGTCTTTTGTTGTTGTTGTTGTTGTTAAGTTTGTTTGTTTGTTTAAGTAATATCTACACCCAGCATGGGCTCGAGCTCACAACCCTGAGATCAAGAGCTGCATGCTCTTCTGACTGAGCCAGCCTGGCGCCCCACATGAACTCTTTTAAAGCCAAATTTCCATGATGTAATTAACACATTTTTTAAAAATTGAATGTAGTGCAGAATTTTAAATCTGTTTTTATATTCAGTTCTTAATAATTTTAACTCTTCATTCTGATGAGAATCTTTTACCATCTTGACTCTGCAACCAGTGGATTAGCCATCAATATAATAGCTTGGTGTCACTTTATTTAAAAAAAAATTTTTTTTTTAATGTTTATTTATTTTAGAGACAGAGAAACAGAGCACAAGCGGGGTCAGGGCAGAGAGAGGGAGACACAGAATCTGAAACAGGCTCCAGGCTCTGAGCTGTCAGCGTAGAGCCCAAAGCGGGGCTTGAACTCACAAACCATGAGCTCATGACCTGAGCCAAATTCGGACACTCAGCCGACTGAGCCACCCAGGCGCCCATCTTGGTGTCATTTTTAAATGTATTAAGACTTGTATCTCCTCATGAAAACTTTAGTAAGATGTCTTGCTAAGGTTATTACGTTAGGTTGAGCCATGTGAAATGGCCAATATACCACCGTTTTAATCTATTAAAAAATGACAGTTTCATAGGATTCAATCTAGTTGCCTACGTTATGGTGCCGTAGATTATAACGATCATAAGCCCTGATAATGAAAGAAAATCCGTTTTAGTCACCTGTCCTTAGGGAACCATTCCTCCTCTGTTTTCCTTTCTTTACCACTAACTATTGGTTTAAAAATCCATTCTAGTGTATCACTAGGGATCAGTTTGGAGCTTTCTGTGTTTTGTCGAGGGCATGGGTATGGTGGAGAATTAAATAATTGAGTAGCTGTCTCAGGAAGTGACTTTGAAGAAACTTGAAAAAGATATTTTGGCAAAAGGAGTGCAGAAACTCATAAGGACGAATGGCTTACTTTCCTTTTTATCTTAAATGTCATGAGTTGATTATTTCTTGTTCACTGTCAAGTACAGATTTTGAAACCTACTTTTATGTAGTTGAACTTGGCAGTAATCGTACCAATCCATAGAAACTAGGTATTTTGAATATTCGTTATCTCCAACTACTTATATTTCTCTATACTGTGCCAGTGTTCAGTCTGTGATCCTTTATGTCATGTGGCCATGACATAGTGCTCATTTCTCTTCTTCATACAGAGGCTTAGAACCGTATTCAGTTAGTTAAAATAATACGTTTTTGGAGGACTTAACAGAAAAATAACAATTTTGAATGAAGGGTAGCAGTGTTTGAAAAAAATCACATTGACAGGAGTTAGGAGGTCTTGAAGACATTTTAACATTTCATTTCCTTATCCAAAATTTAAAAAAAAAGCACACACACACAAAGCAACCTGTAATCTTAATAAAACATTTTGTATAAGAACAACCATTTACATTTCTACCTTAACAATTATAATTTTATATACATATTTATTTATGGTTTATACTTAGAAGCTCGAACATAGTATACGGTTTAAAGCAAAACATAATGCAGTTTACATAGGAGTGAATGTCTGAGAAGACCTGTCCCTGTCAACAATAACCAGTTTATATTTGGGAGTCTTGAGGCTTTCGTGTGATTGTCTCCAGGAAGCTCATAGAGAGGTTCAAGAGAAGTACCTCCTAATCGTTCATGAGAACAAAGCCAAAGGTTTTCTTTTCTTTTTTTTTTTTTAATGTTTATTTATTTAAAAAAAAAATTTTTTTTTTAACGTTTATTTATTTTTGGGACAGAGAGAGACAGAGCATGAATGGGGGAGGGGCAGAGAGAGAGGGAGACACACAGAATCAGAAGCAGGCTCCAGGCTCTGAGCCATCAGCCCAGAGCCTGACGCGGGGCTCGAACTCACGGACCGCGAAATCGTGACCTGGGCTGAAGTCGGACGCTTAACCGACTGAGCCACCCAGGCGCCCCATTGTTTATTTATTTTTGAGAGAGACTGAGCACGAGCAGGGGAGGGGCAGAGAGAAAGGGAGACACAGAAGCCAAAGCCAGCTCCAGGCTCTGAGCTGTCAGCAAAGAGCCTGATGTGGGCCTTGAACCCACAAGCCGTGAGATCATGACCTGAGCTGAAGTTGGACGCTTAGCCAACAGAGCCACCCAGGCGCCCCAAAAGTTTTCTTTTTAATATACATTCTTATAAAGTCAGTAAAGAAGTTGATCTTGGTTAATCTACAGTGGAGGAAACTTTCAAAGTGAAGACTGTTTTAATTTTACTTTTAAAATCTATCAGAGTTTTCCTTTATTTTCTTTATTAATTTTTTCCAGGTTCTTTACCTGGTGTTCCTGCCTCCTTCTTCCCCCTCTTTCACCCGTCCCCTTTATTATATTACAGGATATGTTAAAGCACAATTTCGACTACAGAACTGCTCACAAGCCTTCTTTAATGGTTTCAAATTCTTTAACGGTATAAATTCTTTGCCACTTTTTTATTTAGGTCTTTTTTACTTAGGTTAGATTCTTGGTTCAAGTTCCCAAACTGGTGTTTTCTACTACAACCCTGTATGATCCCATATTATGTGTAGCTTCTGGCCGCCCTCATCTGCCTGCTGTAGCTCCTCTGCTTTCTCTGCCTGGAATATTCTCTCTTCTGTTTGCATTTCACATATTTCCTTATTTAAAGACCAACCTAAATGCTGTTCATGTCTCCACAGAGTCCTTCCTGCCAGTCTTTCCCAGACATGATTCTCTCTTCTTAATTCTTTACCCCTAGCCCTTTCAGGACCCAAACCCTGCCTCAAACTTGTTAGGGAAGAACAAAAATATAGTGAACATGTCAGTATATACACTCCTGACATATGGCTTAAAGAGTATCAGTTAATAATTATTTTAAAAAATGGAATCAATATAAATAAAGGACGGTATAATACTAATATGTTTAAATGGAAGAAAATCAACCTTTTGGGGATATATTTGATTAATAATTTTTAATAGAACAAAGTAACATGTGTAGTATTGAAATCTCTTACAATTGTATTTACGTCTCAAGTATTTTTTCCCATTGCCTTCAGGAACAAAGTCTGATCTTGTTTATGGCTTTTAAAGCTCATGAAAAAGAAAATGAGTTTAGCTGCAATGATAAAACTAGCCTTTTAGTTATGGAATGTGTTACGGTGGAACCAAGTAGAATTTGGTTTTGTTATCCATGCCGTCAACTTGATTTGTAAATACTTGAACTGAAAAAGTTGATTTGTAAAGTGGAATATTAAAAAATATTTCTTAACTGCTTTTAGTATGTGTAGAACATTATAACATAAATTAATAATGCTGGATACTAATTATATATTAATGATTTGTTTCCAGAACTTACCTTCTGGATCATCACGTGTGGGAGCCATTAAACTTACCTACATTTCAAAGGTAGTTTTTCTATATCGTTTCTCAGTCATGCATGAATTAGAATTGCTTGGGATATGAGCGTGAATGAGGGGCGGTTTCCTTTCTGTGTCATTTAGTGATGATGTTCGGGGTCATATCATGAGGAAGATGGTACCTGGCCACTATGTGTAGGAAGGTCTTTGGTAAAATTAGGCAAAATATGGAGTTAACTTGTAAGATGTGGCCAATTGCAGAAGTTAACATTAATCTTTACGATTAGGTATATGAATATCAGAAGGAGAATAAACAGTTAATGATTAAGTTCTGTCTTTGGGAAATCTGGAGTTTTGTTTTTTTAAGTTTATTTATTTTGAGAGAGAAAGTGCAAGTCAGGGAGGGTCAGAGAGAGAGGGAGAGAGAGAATCCCAAGCAGGCTCTGCACACTGTCAGTGCAGGGCCCAGCATGGGGCTGGAACCCATGAACCGTGAGAAGTCGGACGCTTAACCAACTGAGCCCCCCAGGCTTCTCCCCTGGAGAAGGTTTTTTCTAAGTCCGTATTGTATTTATTTAAACTGTTTTCCAGCTTTTAATCCCCTTACCTCTGACTTTTTATTTCTTTATGTTTTATTTTGAAGAAAGTAAGAACCATCTGCATGATAAAAGAATGATTTTTCCCTCATTTCACTTTGTCTCTACTAATTTCTGTTTTCTCATTTGTCGATTTTTCTGGAATTTTTGCAATACTATTTTTCTCTTCAAAAATTGAGATTTGGTATTTTCAGGTATTTTTTTTCCCTTTATTATATTGGGGTGGGAACTGAGATAGAGATGTCGAGGAGCTAGGCCTATGGGGTTTTTATACAAAGTAATGTGCGTCGATGGCTCAAGATAGAAGGTGTGAAAAGTAGATTAAGTAATATGCACGTGTATACTATTATGCATATATTGGGATTTGTTAGCAGAGGTCTTCAAGAGAAGACCAGTTTACAAGTGTGCTTATAAAGGTAGACATTCATAGATAAAGTACTTCATTATCAGGATCACAGCAGAGCTGTTTATTCTCACTGACCAAAAAAAAAAAAAAAAAAAAAAAAAAAAAAAAAAAAGAAAAAAAAATCAGCCCTTGGACGACAAAGATTACATATTGAAAGGGAAACCTTTTTTTTTTTTATTATTATTTATTTAATTAAAACCATATTATTTAATCTGCAGAAGACAAATATTGTTTAAGTATACCTTAAGTGTCCCTGTAAATCAAAACATTTAATAAGTGCTTCAGGGTAGCTCGCAGCTTCAATTCTAGAGTGCTTGTTATTAGGAAGCATAGCGTGTCTTCGTAAAGTAAGTGTTAGAGCCCTGGTCTGCCGGCCGGCCGGTAGGGTATCGCGCTGTAATGTGAATTTGTTGCCAAGCGCTTTTGCCTCTCCGGGAGGTGATGAGGAAAAGGCAGTTGAGATCGCCCACATGCTCCTATCTTTTCAATCGTTTGTTGCCTGGTCTTTTCAAAAATGAAGCACTGACTGAGCAAGTGGCCCTGACTGACCAGCTGCTTCCTGAATCTTCCTCGGCTCCTCTTTTAAAATATAACCTTTTCTGTGCAGCCCTGTTGACTTTCATCTCTGTCCCGAAGTTTCACTTGTACAGTTTGTACTCTGCTTTAGACATGCCTCTTTTTTTCCAGAATTTATTCTTGGAACAAATTCCAGTGTGACTCAGAGCTGTGAATTTGTAGCTGGGATCAGTCAGGAGCCCCAGACTTAGAATTCCTTTTGAAGGTACAAAACAGACGCTACAATTACATGTTCTGACACCGGCACTAGGGTCGTAATAGTCAGGAATAGGCTTCCGAGAGGGCTACGTTATTTGAGGGAATAACAGTAATCAGGTGCCAGTTGCTTCCCTTCTGAAAGGAACCACGTGCTGCGTTTAGCAAAGGGACCCCGCGATCCCAGGGTATTCTGCTGCACACGAGGGCATCCGGTGCCGTTTTGGGTTCCTCATTGCAGATTAATGCCTTTTGGATTTTTGGACGTTGTTAAATACACAATCTCCCCCTTGCCCACCATCATTTTCTCTTCAGGTTCACAGCTAATTTAGAAATACGCAATCTGGGAAGAATTCAGAGTTTCTGTAGTGTGTTCTGAGGGTATTTTGAAACTTATGTTATACTACAAAATGTCCCATGTGTTACATAAAACTTAAGGGTTTACTTTCAACTTCTTCACATTTCCTTAGAATAAATGCAAGTTTGTTCAAAGAGAACAGGGAAGTATCGTTTGTTTTGAACATCTTACAGTTGGGACCCATGTTCTGTGTTCAATTTGCAGTTCTTTTTCAGTAGCCTTTAAAGTGTAATTTCAGGCCTGAGTGCTAAATGTGTGTGTGGGATTACTGGGAGATTGTACTTGTGGGAGTTGGTGCAGCATTTAAGGTTGGTTACAGTCACATATGAAGAAGTCAGTGACTCGTCTCTCTGTTTTGTTAGGTTAGCGATGCAACTAAGCTAAGGCCAAAGGCTGAGTTCTGTTTTGGTAAGTAGCCATATTTTATATGTTAATTGATTTAAGTTTGGCCAACATAATTACATCATAATTGTAAAAGGAAACAGTCCTGGAAAACCATATGACACAAACCTGTGGGTTAATGGATTATTCTGAGGCAAATTCCCTTGAAGCCACCATCCAGGTGAAGAAATAAAACTTCTCGCCTACCCTCGAAGCCTCTTTCCTGTGTCCATCCCGGTCACGGCCGCCTCCCTCGGCCCACATATAGTCCTTATCTGGGCGTTTATAGCGATGACCGCCAGAGAGATTTCAGGTAATTTCTAACTTTCTACCTTGTATTATTCTATATTACATGCATTTATAAATAACGGAAAGGATTTGGTCTTCCGCTCGTGGGTCATGAGAAGTGTACAGCTTGGGGGTAGAGGTAGTTGAGGGTGTCTGATTCACTTGTTCGGCAAACATTTAGTGTCTAGTGTGTGCACACTGTGCTTGGCACTGGGCCGTAAGAGTATTAAAAGGCGGTTGTCGCCCTTAAGAATCTCACAGGCTGCTTGTCTCTCAGACACCGGACCTGGTGAGATCCTTGCATTTCTTACAGTCAGTGCATGACGGAGTGTACAATCTATTAAAGAAACACAAAGGAAGAGCTTCACATCCTTACTGGGGATCCTTACCAGGGGGAGCCACACTGGGTGAAGAGGCACTTGAGTTGGTGGCCAGCTCAACCTTGGTCATCCTCCAGCGTTTGGAAGAGAAGGGGGAGGGATCACAGGACCAGAGGCACGCGGGAGAGAAGAGCGAGGTGTGTGCGGACATCTGAAAACTCAGGGAGGCTGGCAGGAACGGTGAGAGACCAAAAAGTAAAAGGCCAGGCAGAAGTCCGGGCGTAACACGTGTACAAGTGGTGTATGTGTATGTATGTGTGGGAACGAGAGGTGAGAAACTAGCATCTAGCAAGCTGACATAGGTAAAGGATGTGCTTTGTATGGACAGGAGAGTTTTGATACAGGCAGATTGGCTCAGTGGCTTCCGAACTACTCTCCTTATCTAAGGGCCCGCATCTGGGTCGTGGCAGTGGGAGAGGGGGGACAGACAACACTGGAAGGAAATGTGCAGGGCCTTGGTGACTGGATGTGTGGGAAGAGAGAGCTATCAGGCAGGTTCGCTTCAAGTAAAGAAATGAGGACCTGAGAGCTGGATTGGGTAAAGTGTTTGATAAGGAGTTTGAAGTGGTGAGGAAACATCCAAATGGAAATGTTCCGGTGACGTAATTGAAGATGGATGGAGCTTGAAGATCAAGAATGGAGAAATTTGGAACTTGTGAAAATAGTTGGGTGGTAGTTGAAGCCGGGAGAGTTGATGTGCTCTCAGAGTCTGTCAAGGGACACCAGTGATGGAAAGGACAAAATTCAGAGTGGCCAACTGGCATCAAAAAGGACCATTTTACATTAACGTAAAATACTTCTTGAGGTAGAAATGATATCAGCGTTCTTTGTTCTCTTTTTTTTTAAGGTTTTTTTTTTTTTTTTTTTTTTTAAATTTATTTCTGAGACAGAGAGAGACAGAGCATGAGCAGGGGAGTGACAGAGAGAGGGAGACACAGAATCCAAAGCAGGCTTCAGGCTCTGAGCTGTCAGCACACAGCCCAACGCGGGGCTCAAACTCACGGACTGTGAGATCATGACCTGAGCTAAAGTCGGACGCTTCACTGACTGAGCCACTCAGGCGCCCCTGTTCTCTTTTGCTTGAAAAGGGTGGGTTTCTTCTTTAGGCATTGTGTTGGGGATAACATCTGATGGCAGTCATATACATCCAGTAAGCGACTAGGGTGTGGGCAGGATGTAATGCAGCTGTTCAGAGAATCCTCTATAAGGCTTTTATCACCTCTAAGAAACCAAAAGAAAAATTTATGTGCTTATTACAAATTTATAAACAGGAAAATGCTTCAGAGCCTTGTGAGTGAAAAGCTAATGGGGGCAACAGAGAACTTTGTTTTAGAATGTATAATGCATATTCTCTTGACAAGTCTTTTTAATGTAAAACCTCAAACCTACAGCTTGAAGGAATAGTAGTATATAGTAACATACATAACATTCAGTCATTGGAGTATGTAGAATGGGTGATTTTAGTTGGAGTCAGAGATTAAGGTTATTTGTTGGTCTGTCAGTAGTTTGTTAGTCCATACTATAGAGGGCATAGAGAAGAGATTCATAAAATGATTGTCTTCAGAGAGGGCGGCACAGATTCCTAAAATGGAACTACAACTTCCATTCAGAATGGCAACATAAAGATTCTTCCACCTTTATTTTATCTCCCGATTGTTCAAAAACAAGTGAGAACAAGAAACACTCAAACCATCGTTGCAGACGTCTGTAACCCACAGTGTATACAGGTGGGAAGTGGATGGGGGGAATGGAAAATAACTTAGCAGAGTAGAGAAGAAGCCAGTGAGGAGCTGGCCTGTCAGCGTCCTGCCCCCACCCCAACTCCAGAGAGACTTAGGTCCTGGGTACCGTATGGGGAGGCAGCGGAGAGGAGGACCCAAAACGGACTACATTTGGATGTCTGTGTCAGGGACAGCCTCCAGTCCCTGCTTCCATGCAGCTTAGTTGGGCAGCTGTCCTTCCACCATCCCAGCAAGAAATGGCATGTGTAGTACCTTTAGAAATAGAACCAGTGAGGGGCGCCTGGCTGGCTCAGTTGGAGGAGCATGTGACTCTTGATCTCAGGTTCGTGAGCTCCAGCCCCATGATGGGTGTAGAGATTACTTAAATAAATAAAAACTTAGAAAGAAAAGAAAGAAAGAAAGAAAGAAAGAAAGAAAGAAAGAAAGAAAGAAAGAAAGAAAGAAGAGAGAGACAGAAAGAAAGAAAGAAAGAAAGAAAGAAAGAAAGAAAGAAAGAAAAAGAGAAAGAAAAAGGAAAGAAAGAAAGAAAGAAAGAGAAAGAGAAGAAAAAAGAAAGAAAGAAAGAATCAGGCTCTGTGTTCGGGAAGAAGGGGAGAGATGAAGCGTGAAACTGAAAATACGACTAAGTGAAAATATGTGCATGGAATGCACCTCTTTTCCTGTGTCCAGTTTCAGAGCACTGGGCAGCCAGGTATAGTGGGGTGGGTCTGCATACTCTAGAGAAGAGAGCCATAGGTGCTGACATCTGGGCATTTCTACTAGAAGACTTTGCCAAGTGAGGTCCAGCGGTTAGTAACCCTACATATGTTTCAGGGAGCTTCCAGTTAGTTTTTTTAGTGCCTTGCTTTTAAATATGAATAGACAGCCTGGGATTACATGACATTTGAGGAGAGAGCACTATCAAATAGGAAAAGGAACACAAGACAATGCAAAACTCAGAAGAAAAAGGCAAAAAATCTGAAAGAACAAAGACAGACCGATGAGAGGAGAGAAATAAGAAAATTAGTGGTTCCTTTTAGAAAGTCTGCCATCTGATTGAGAGAACAAGAGGATGGAGAAAGAATAGAGGGAACTGAGAAAACTGGCAAATAATGTGAGAAAGTGTCTCACAACCATTTGGTCGCTACCCATACCCGAACTGTAACCAGTTGATCTTAGGTGTCAGATGATTTTTGCTTGCAGTCAAGCTAGTGTTTGTGCTTCAGGCTTTATCTGTTTGATACATTCACTCTGATGGTAAAGATTTGAAATGAAGTAAAGAAGTACTCAAGTGAAAAGATAGTAGAACACAACCTCTGGGATGGAGTCCTCATACGCTGCGGAACCCTAGATTCAAAAGCATGGCAACTGGCAGGTTTTGTACACTTTGTTTACCTTCGAATATTTTTTCTTTCTTTCTCTGTCCCCCCCCCCCCCGCCCCCACCAACATGGATTATTAGTATGCACTTCCCAATAATTTGCTTTACATTTTCCACAATGCTTCCTTACTTGGAAGTCTCCAGATGATGATGAAGATGATGTTGTCTATTCTTTCCCAGGCGCTGTGCTACTTCCTTTACATAGATCACCTCCAACCCTTCGAGGAACGGATGGGTTGCATCCATTTCCTTGATGAAGAAAATGGCGCTCAGATTACCTGGGTTTTGCAGAATGTTATTGCTAGTTAAGTGCGTGAGCTGGTCAGGTCTGAGTGATCCCAGGCTCGGATTCCAACCCCCTCCTGCCCCCACCGTATCCTTATGCCTCTTCCTACCATGAAATAATACAGTACATGAGTTTTTATTTGGACTGCAAGGTGTGCTAAGACCCATTTTAGAGGTATATTTGCCTCTTTTTTCTTTTTTAAAAGAAGTCCTTATATAAATGCTATTCATTCAAAGATAGATGTATTAAGCACTCACTTTGTAGCAGATGTAGTGTAGTACTAAGTGCTTAGATTTTCAGACTCCTTAGCTGGTCTCAGCAGATGCCCAGAACAGCGCTGAGGGGGGAAGCCATTGGGAGGGGGCCCAACCTCAGCCCGAGCTGGAACAAGGTTGTGAAAAGAGTCTTTACCAATTGTTAGAAATTAAAAATAAAAGCCATGTGTTGATATATGTCCTACTGTGCTACTCATCTTAACTTATGCTTATGGCATGGATCATTTCTCCAGTCTCTAGTAAGATATAAGAGAATGATTTATAGTGTTTTAAGTTTCTTTAGTTTCCATACTAGTTGTCTGACAGCACTTCACAAGGTACTATTTGACTTCCTTGCTCAGATCCTCATCTCCATTCAGGGAAGCTCTGCCTCAGTGTCTTGGTCTCAGTTCCAATTTCAAGTCTTGTGCATTTGAGAAATAACTTTTTCCTTTGAGGGTTTTCATTTCCGCCTTTGCTTAGTCATACCCAACTGAGTGGTAGTATGTCGGTTGATACGTACATACATACGTATATGAGTATATATATATATACACACACACACACACACACACACACACACACACACATATGTATATATATTTTAAGTTTATTTATTTTGAGAGTGAGAGAGAGCAAGCAGGAAAGGGGCAGAGAGAGAGAGAGAGAGAGAGAGAGAGAGAGAGAATCCCAAGCGAGCTCCATGCCCAAAGTGGGATCTCTTGAACTGTGACATCGTGACCCGAGCCAGAATCAAGAGTTGGATGCTCAACCAGCTGAGCCCGCCAGGCACCCCTAAAGGTGTTTATTTTTATGATCTTGGGTTGGGGAGATTTTTTGCATCTATGAAAGCTCAAGTCATTACAGGAAAAGGAAAAGATTGACAGAATATTTTTCTCTTTGTTAAAAGATACCATGGACAAATTTGATGAGGCAAATGACAGGCTGAGAAAAGTACTTGAAATAAAACAAATGATTAATATAAAAGCTCTTAGAAGACAATACAACATAAATGGATACTCAGGAGAAATATGGACAAAGAAAATAAAGCTCACAAAACAAATTCTGATGGCCAAGGAACATAGAAACTAATTTGTCTCGATCAGATAAATTCAAATTTAAACAAGATATAATTATTCACCATTTAGGAGGTCTGAGATTGCTGTATCTGTCGGGGTCCAGTCGGGAAAACAGTCTGCACTAGGTATTTCGAACCTGGGGTATTTGTTAGGAGGAATTGCTTACCCAAATATTGGAAGGCTGAAAGAGTGCAGAGGGGATGCCGAGGAAACCCGGAAATTAGAAATTGCATGAAGCAGCTACCACCTACACGCTGGAGAGACGAAAGGGGAAGAAGTGGTGTTACCAGAAGCTGGGACTTTGGAGGGTTGGAAGAGGGGCCCTGATGGAGCTAGTGATGGGTGTCTGAGGAGACTGCAGGGCTGGTGTGGGGAGTGGCCGCAGAGCCTGGAGCAGTAGTAGCTAGTGGTATGCTTCTGCAGGGGGAGGGAGGTCAGCAGTAGTGGGAACCTGTAGGAGCGTGGCCTCTCCCAGTCTCCTGTCAATATCTCCCATTGGCAGAACATGGCTCGAGCTGGCAAAGGGTTTCTAGGGAATATTGTTCGCAGACTCCGGCTCCAATGTCAACAGTCTCGGGGCTGAAGACAAGGTCCCTATCTAGCACAGATGCTAATGACCAGGACGGGTGCTGAGCACTGGATAAAACAGTCCTTCACTGTTGATAGGAATGTAAATGGGTTCGACCTTATAGGAAGACAAGTTGTCAATATCTGTAAAAATTTTAAGGGTGAATTCCCTCTGACCCAACACATTTATCCCATAGAACTGGTAGCCCAAGTATGGAGAGATATTATGTATATGGTGTTTCATTGGGATATTTTATATAATTTCAAAAATTGGAAACAGCCTAAATGCTTATCATTAGGGGATTAGCTAAATATATTCTGGTATTTCCATTTAATGAAAAACATAGGCATTAAAAATAAGAATGTTACCTATGTTACAGAGTGATAAAAGCATTATTTCATATGATCTAACATTTTGTCAAATCTGAGAGTCACCGTATTGAACGTAGCCTGGTTTTGCAGAAAGCAGGTGCAAACATAAATTTAGATGCAACAAGTGGAAAATTTCATATACTGTTTACTTTTTCTCTCAACAGTGCAAAATTTCATATACTGTTTACTTTTTCTCTCAACAGTTATGAATGCAGGGATGAGGAAATACTTCCTACAAGCTAATGATCAGCAAGACCTAGTAGAATGGGTAAACGTGTTGAACAAAGCTATAAAAATTACAGTAAGTGTTTGTTGTGTTTTTAATTTTTAACGTCTGGAGGTCATCTTTACATTTTGAAAATATGCCTGCTGAGTCTCCAGTTTACCAACAGGTTGCATCCTCAAAGTTTATTATTTAAAAGGCCGGTGTTTATAATGGGAATACATTTTCTTGTACCAGGTGATTATCAGCCCTTAAAATCAGCCCGTAAATGCCATTTTAGCCCATTATGTACCTACCACGGCATATGCTAGTGTGCATTTTACCCACTGCACAAGAATGTTTCTAGGGGAAAATACACATCGAGGATGTTTTCTCTTCCCGAGTAGGATGAGGGGCTTCCTGCCGCCACCCCTGCTACTAGGCGTTGGCCTTCCTGTCTTCCAGGCCCTGACTGGGATCACTGCTGGGTAGGGTAGAATTTGAAGATAGGAGCAGGAAGCGGAGGTGAGGCCATGGAAGTGAGGCACGGGGTTAGGGAGTGGATCTGGAGAGCTGTGGCGGCCAGAGGGTCCTGCCCACGTGGCCCCCTCGGGAGTTTGTCTTCAGGCTCTAAACTTGCCTCACCCACTTTTCCTCCTTGAGTTCGGGGCGGCTACCCTTGCAACTGTGATGTCCCCGGGCTACAGCTTCCTGCTTGCAACCTGGGTTTCTTTTTTGGTTTTCTGATCCTGAGGGGTTTACCTCAATTACCTGGAAAAGTGATAATCCTTGGGATTAAGTAACTTTTACTGGTTTCATCGCTGGTAAATCGTGGAACCGTTGAGCCAAACCCAGGCTGTTTGACTCTGGAGCTCGACCCTGGAGCACAGGGTCCTGAAAAAAGAGCCCTTTCCCACTCTTGTTTGTAAAGCAAAACCCAGACTTTTCTGAGAAAGTTTACTACTGATTAGGACAGGCAAGTAGATAGGTTCTGCGCCCTGATCCTAGCTCTCCTTGCTTTTTTTCCTCCTTACACACTTGTAGAGAGACACAGAGAGAGGCTCTGGAAGGAGTTCCTGTGTGTGAGGTTTGTGTGAGCTCAAGTGTGTTTTACTAAAGTACAGTTGTTTACTGACCCTAAACGACTTACTCTCGAAAAACATATGCTCTGAAAGTCAGCATATGTTGTCACTTGTTAGTTTCCATCTAAAATGAACGATTCCATATTTATATCACAACACAGTAAAGAGTTAATATAACTAAAGCTGTTCTCGGAGTGAAGTCGGGTTTTTTGTCTTGCACCAGAACAGCTTGTTGCCACATGACAGAAAACACCCACGCAGTGCCTCTGATCTGTACATGAAGCAGAAGTTATTTTAGGTACGTGCAGTTTCAGGAAAGCAATTTTGTGAACTGATTCAGAAGTACATGTTCTTAAAAGGTCTTAACTAACAGTTTTTAACTCAATATATATATTTCTTAGGTGAAATTTTCTTTAGGAAGACAGTATCTAGTAACTTTACCAAATTGGTTCATTTCTTACAATTTGCAGTAATTAGTAGCACTGGGTTCTTAGTGCTTTAGGAGAAAAAGGAGTGAATAGTCTCAGGCTTTTTACCATTTGGGGGGTTCTTGAATTGCTAGACCTAATTTATTAATGGTGTGAAACCATCTTACACAGATGACACTGTTAAGCTTATTCAAATGCACGAGAAGCTGATTAGGGTTGGGTGATGTTCCAAAGCATAAAGACTTTTAAATACCAGCGTTTGTGGTCTTACGGTTTTATTTTACACGTTGAAATTCATAATTTTTAGGCTAAATAAGTTGGTATTGATGCTTTTATAATTCATTTTTTGTAATTCACATTTAGAAAATAGGAATACGGGGGCGCCTGGGTGGCGCAGTCGGTTAAGCGTCCGACTTCAGCCAGGTCACGATCTCGCGGTCCGTGAGTTCGAGCCCCGCGTCAGGCTCTGGGCTGATGGCTCAGAGCCTGGAGCCTGTTTCCGATTCTGTGTCTCCCTCTCTCTCTGCCCCTCCCCCGTTCATGCTCTGTCTCTCTCTGTCCCAAAAATAAATAAACGTTGAAAAAAAAAATTTAGAAAATATGAATACGTAAAAAATCTAGAAATCCTTAGCTTGTCAACAAAGTGAATGTAACTATATGAAAGTGAATGTAGAATTGAAGAACTGATAGCACTTACTAAACATCAATTTTATATAAACGTTTAACTTATCGGATAGCAATGAAAGAATTTCCCATGCCTACGTAAGATTTATTTAATTTTTTTCTTTAAAGGGCCTTGCCAGTTTTCATATCATGTGCATTTTACACATGTAAATGTATTCGGGTGTGGAATCTCTAATTTGTCATACATTCCTATGGAAATCGCTGATGAGTAATGCAGATTTCTTTGCAAAATAGAAGTTTATGTTTTAGTGCATGTGTGGTTTACAATTCTATGGAACTGCTTCAAATGACAAGTTGGTCAGCTGTGTAACTTAGTGGTCTGCTGAGTACAATGTGATTATGTAAACTTAAAATTTTTAGAAATTCATAATTAGGGTTTGGAAGCACATGGTTTCAGAATAGGGGGTGGTAGGGAGTAGTGGTAAGGGAATGGTGATTATTTAACTACTTCCTGATTATAGTACCTTGTCATCTTAGTGGACTGTCCTCTGATACCATGGTCTGTGGCTTTTCGAACTTGCCTAACGTCCATGTGAATGTTTATTGGTGGCAGCCGTTTAAAAAAGTTTCCCCTTATTTGAAAAGACAGAGAGCTGGTAGTGGAGGAACCGACCCTGAAGGGAGTATCCGCGAATAGGGTTGGGAAAATCAGATTGATTTTAAAGTATGCTTTCAACTAACTTTTTATAGGAAGTAATAACAGTACAAATACGGTGGCCTCTGGTCCCTTATCGATGAAGGAATGTCCAGGATGTATATGGTGTATTCCTAAACAGAAACCCACTGTTTTTTAAAATAGTGTCTTTTCCCCACCATAGGTGGTAATTCAGAAATCAATACTAGATTTTAATCTACAAGTAGTGTTTTTGACATTGTGGCCAAAATTCCACTTTTTTTTTGGACAGCTGGGAGCAAGTAGAGGAAGCTGAATATAGGACTTTGGTCCTAACAAAATGGTAAATTTGCCCAAAGGTACAAGGCTTTCTACTTGGTACTAGTGTTTTTCAGCTGGCAGGTCATGGGTAGGGCCCTCAAAAGGCTCCTAATACCCAGGAGTTTGTGTTGGAACGTTTTAGGCTTTCGTCTGCAAGCCCTGTTGTTTTTCTCCATTTTGTTTATCTCTTCATTCTCTGACTGCCTTTTCTTTTTCTACTATTAGGACCACAGGCAAACACCTCCTAAAGATGCATGCAGATTTCTCACAGAATACAGCTCCAATAAAGAAGGGTAGAAAGCAAGAGAGAGCAGGGAAAAGTCAGGGGCAAGGAAACCAATCATGTTCAGTGTCTTTGACACTTGCTGTCTGCCTGATGAGATCAGTTTTCTGATTCTCATTAAATAGTTGGCTGATTTTTTTTTTTTCTGTTCCTGAAAGTATGTTTATTTTAATGGCTGAATTTAGAATTTCATTCAAAGTTTTTAAGACCATTACTGTATTCATGGGTATTTTGCTTGTACTTATTCTTGGGGAATGTTCACAGCTTAGATTATTTATTTTAATGATAAAATGTTAATATTAGTTTCAGGTGTATAACATATCGATTTGAAAATTCTACACATTGCACAGTTCTCACCACACAATTTAGATAAGTTTTATTGTAAAGTGCAATTCTAAGTTAATTATTGAACTCTAACATTAGAATTATGCCATACTTAGTATTTTATTTTATTATAAGGACACATTAGAAGCAGTGAGCTTAACAGCAGAGAGAAGGATTTTTAATATACTATCATTTCTGGAAGAAAAGTGGAAAAAGTATAAATATCACTATTTTTGGGGTGGTATAAAAGATTTTTCTTAGGAAATGCCCATGTATGACTGACTAAACTGTAAACTTCTTAAAAGAAGGACTGACTTCATATGGGTCACCTCTTCGTACATTTCAGCTAACACAGATGAACAGATAATTTTCTCTCTGGCTTAAAATTCTCGCAGTGCTGTGTTTCTGTTCTTAATGGGGTAACTTGGCCCCGTTTTCTCGGTCATGTTTCAAATACATGATGCTGTTCATTCAGAACATCGTGGGCTTCCTCGGCAGACTGTTTCTGGGTAGAGTGTCCTCAGTCGTAGTCCTTTCACCGCCCTGTCATTGTGTGGATCTTGTCAGGTAAAATTCTAGCTAGTACCTGTTGCCTTTAAAAAGCTCTCCAAAAAGTGTAGCCTCTTAGAAGATTTCAGGGGGCATTCCTTAGCAGGATTCATTTGCCTTCCTTTCCTGTGTTCCTGCATTGTAGTGTAAATATGGATGAGAGGGCCTGAAGCCTGGAGAAAAAGCCTTGCGGGGAAGCATCTCCAGGGGAGAGAGGGAGGGAAAGGTGGAGAGGAGTTGCAGAAAGTCACCTGAGAGACAACTTGTGTATATTCGTAAATTATGTGGATTGGGATCTACTACAGCCCGGCTTAGACACACATAGACCGCATTTGCCCGGTATTTCATAAAGCCTTGTCTGAAGACACCACTGTCTGCCTGCTTTTCCCCAGACCTGGTGGGAGAGCACAGGCCTGGCAGCAGTGTTTCTCAGGGTGGTTTCTGCAGCAACTACCTCAAAAACCACTGGTGTTTCTGCTGACCGTGTGGCCTTGTGCACAACACTGTGGCTGGAGCAAGTCAGAATTTCTGGGAGGTGCAACCTGGAAATCTGAAGCTTTTAATAATGTTCCTGGCTGATGCTTCATGAGTGTTAAAGCTTGAGAAACCACACTGCTTCGGAATCCTATTAATAAATGGTTTGGGTCTTTGACTGCAATGTGAATGGTGTCCCCTGGAGCTGTGCCAGTTCCCTGTTAACATGGATTAACTGTGAGGCAAGCAAGTTACTTGATTTTAAATGTTTTTACACCACCACTATGATGCTGGTTAGAACTACTTGTCACAATGTTTCTGAAACACTGCAGGATCCTCACATGCCCTTTAAAATCATTGGAGAGAGATTAACTGTCATGCTCAACATTACATCAGTGCCAAGCATATTTTATTACATTTTTTATCTATGGTCAAAAGAAATCTGCAATCCAAAGGCAGACTACATGCAGCAGTCTGTTGGCAGAAATATTGCACCTTGTTTCCTGAGCAGGCCGGATCAGAAAAGCTAAAATGTATGTTAAACGTTTGTGATCCCTTCGATTCTCTGATTCCACTTCAGTGACGTTTGTGAGTGATTTATCGTTGATACCAGTGTTGGAATACCTTCTCAAAATTTCCAATAAGCTTTAAGTTATTTTGAACATTTTAAGTTTTAATTTGTGTTGAGTATCTTATTCTTTTTTTCCTGATGATTTTGGATTCATCCACTGAGTCCGTCTCTCAACATTTAGTGAACACCGTGTTTTCAGTAGTAGACTCTGTCCTGGCACCAGTAATGATGAGTTTGCCACGGTCTTTGTCCTTGGGTGCTACCAGAATCATGGGCAGCGGCGGAGGATGGGGAGCGAGAACGGCATGGAGCTGTGCTCTGGTGTCAGGTGCTCTAATAAATGGGGGACATAGAATAGTGGTTGAGTGTAGGGGGAGAGTTACACAGACTTCAGTAGAACGTAGTACAATCAGGACCTAAACCTATGTTTCTTCACACCGCTGAGCCTCCGTCTTCTCACTGCTACCACGGAGGTACAGGCCCTAAGCATAGGGTTCATCAGAGGATGAAGTAGAAAAATGTATGAAATAGTACCTGCCCAAGTAAACACTCAGGAAATGATGGCTGTATTATAAAGTATTACTGTAACAGAACAGTGTGAGAACTTAAAGGGCACATACCTATTATACGTAATTTTTATAAATGTCAGTTATATATAAATGGACAATTAGTTGGATATTCTGTGATAAAAGAGGGTCCCCTATAACATGCTGGTTGCAAAATGATTCATTTACATATTATTTTAGGTACCAAAGCAGTCAGACTCACAGCCTCATTCTGATAACCTAAGTCGCCAGAGTGAATGTGGGAAGAAGCAAGTGTCTTACAGAACTGACATTGTTGGGGGCGTGCCCATCATTACCCCAACTCAGGTAATACATCAGTTATTCTGTTGTGTGGTGGTTTACCTACTGCGTAGTAATTTTTATGTTGTTATAAAATAGAACATCTTTACTGAATAAATATAGTAATCAGTTAATTAAAAATGCTTCATATCTGTTTATTTCAAAAGTATGTGTTTATTAAAATATTTGGCAACCACAGACCACACTTCACACTTTTCATGTTTTCTCTGAGCCTTTCTTCTTTTTTTTTTTTTTTTTAAATTTTTAATGTGTTTATTTTTGAAAGAGAGAGAGAGAGAGAGAGAGTGAGCACCAGCAGGGGAGGGGCAGAGAGAGAGGGAGACACAGAATCCGAAGCAGGCTCCAGGCTCTGAGCTGTCAGCACAGAGCCCGACATGGGGCTCAAACCCACAAACTGTGAGATCGTGACCTGAGCTGAAGTCAGATGCTTAACCAACTGAGCCACCCAGGTGCCCCTCTCTGAGCCTTTCTTCTGTATACTTTTGTCCCAAGAAATGGAGACCCTCTGTAAATAACTTTTTTCACTCACATCTCAAACATTTTCCAAGTCACTAAAAATTATTCTACATCAATTTAAATGACTGGGTAGTCATTTTGACTTGAATTTAGCATAGTTTACAAATGGTCTGTTGTTGGACAGAGTTCCTTTTCCTTTTGTAAACAATATGAGTAGGAAAAACCCACTCTTCCTCTCACATGACTGCCACACTCACAATGCTGCTGACATCAGAGGTGTGGGGATCCCCCCACACCAAGCAGTTCTGTGACACTGGCTGGGTGTCCTGCAATTTAACTCAATTCTGACAGTCAGCCTGGATCCCACAGGTTAAGGGCTCCGTCCTCCCAAGACTGCTCCCACCCCAATCCTTTCAGATGTCGGTGGAAAGTCCAGGTTGTTACCTCTGCTTCTGACCGATGGGCTGTAAATTGAAGGTTTCCATGACCTTGTCCCCAGATTTGATTAATTTGCTAGAGCTGTTCACAGAACAGAAGCAGTTTATTTACTGTTTACCTGTTTATCAATAAAAGGATATGATGAAGAATGCAGACGAACACCCTGATGGAAGAGATGGGAAGGGCATGAAGCTTCTGGGACTCTCTCAGCACCTCCACATGTTCAGCAACCCGGAAGCTCTGTGAACTCTCAACTTGGGATTTTTTTTTTTTAAGTTTATTTATTTTGAGAGACGGAGACAGAGCACATGTGAACGGAGTTGTGGCAGAGAGAGAGAAGGAGAGAGAGAGAGTCCCAACAGGCTCTGCATTATAGTGGGACACTTAACCTACTGAGCCACCCAGGTGCCCTTCTGGCTGCTTTCATTTTGTACAGAATTAAGATTTTGTTGTGTTTTAGTTTTAGTGTAGATTATTCAGTAGGTTGTAAGATTGCATAGCAGCTGCCGTATTAAAAAGATCCCAAAGAATTTTTTTTTTACTGTGTCATTTTGTAATGTAGCTTTTTAAAGAAGTATTTACTCATTATAAAAGCATTTAATTGCTATATATTTGTCAAGAAAATGACAAATCTCATTTGGTTGATTATTCAGTATTGGGTTAGTGGCAGTTAAGTGCTGGGATTACAAAGTTTAAGTACATAATTAGTGCTGTTGACCTGTCTAAATGTATAACAGGTTGAAAATTCCCCAAGATAAGACTCGAGTGTTCGTTTTTCTCTTGAAAATTAGGAGTTCTTGAAAAAAAATACACATTTGGTTGATTAGTGGGATTCTAAGATTATAACATGTTGCATGTAAGCCAGTTCTTTGGGGAGCATGAAAACATGAGTATAGTTAGATCTTTTTTAAAAAGCCTGGACTTGGCGTGTGAAAAAACAAAGAACAAAACCCTGCAGAATTTTTAGATTCTAAGAGCAAGGAGAAAATCGTCTGGAGCAAAAGAGTTTTTAGACTTGCCATCAAAAGCACAGCCCATAATGGGGCGCCTGGGTGGCTCAGTTGATTAAGCTCCCGACTTCGGCTCAGGTCATGATCTCACAGTTTGTGAGTTCGAGCCCCGCTTCAGGCTCTGGGCTGACAGCTCGGAGCCTGGAGCCCACTTCAGATTCTGTGTCTCCCCCTCTCTCTACCCCTCCCCTGCTCACACTCTGTGTCTCTCTGTCTCTCAATAATAAATAAACGTTAAAAAAAAAAGCACAGTCCATAAAAGGATACATTAATCCTCATCGAAATTGTAAATGTTTGCTCTGTGAAAAACCCTGTTAAGAGGATGAAAGGGAAAGTCGCACACGGGGAGGAGGTATCTGCAAACCACGTATCCAACAAAGACTTGTATCCAGAACATACAGAGAAAGAATTGGGGCTCCTGGTGGCTCAGTTGGTTAAGCATCTGACTTTGGCTCAGGTCTCGATCTCACGGTCCGGGAGTTCACGCCCCGCATCGGGCTCTGTGTGGACAGCTCAGAGCCTGAGGCCTACTTCAGATTCTGTGTCTCCCTCTCTCTCTGCCCCTCCCCTGCTCATGCTCTCTCTCTCTGTCAAAAATACATAAACATTAAAAAAAAAAAAAGAAAGAACTATCAGAACTCAGCAGTTAAAAAATAATCCAATTAGAAAAGGGGCAGGATTCACGAACAGAGATTTCACCAAAAGATAAAAGATACACACGTGGCAAAGGAGCACTAGAAGGGCTGCTCACCGCTATTCGTAAGAAATGCCAAGACCGCAGTGAGTATCCCCGCACACCTATCAGAACGACTCCGATAGATAATAACACACGTGTTGGCAAGGCCGAGGAGAAACTGCCTCACTCGTACGTTGCTGGTGGGAATGCAAAACAGTACGGCCCCTCTGAAGACCGGTACGGAAGTGTTTTGTTAAAGTGCACTTGCGATTACTTTCCAGCCCGGCACGTGCACTCCTGGGCTTTGCTCCTAGAGAGATGGAGACTTAACGTTTACACCGGTCTGTATGGGAATGCTTGTGGCAGGTTTATTCCCAATGGCCCCCAACTGGGAACGACTCAGCAATGCCCTTTAACAGGTGAAGAGTTAAACAGCCGATGGTACGTCCAGACCATGAGCGCTACTCAGGGACAGGCTAGTGATAGGGGAGCAGCCTGCGTGAGCCTGCAGGGAATTATGCCGAGTGAAAAAAAGCTGATCTCCAAAGGTCACCTACTGTAGGATCCATTTCCATTACATTGTCTAAAGGCCAAAATAATAAAGACGGAGAACCAGGTTAGGGTTGCCAAGGGATTGGGCACAGCGATTCTAAAGGGGTCGCTCAACCGAGCCTCATAATGATGCTGTATGTGGTTGTGGAGGTGGTTTTACACAAAGCTGCGTGTGACAGAAATGCACAGAATGATCCATACACGAAGACATATGAATGCGTGTAAAACTGATGACATCTGAATAAGGCTTGTAGGATGTGCCAGTGTCAGTTTTGAAATGTACTCTAGTTACCATAGTTACACAGTTTCCCTGTTGGGGGAACCGGTTGAAGGGTACATAGGAAGGATTTCCTGTATTTTTTTTTTTTTTTTTACAGCTTCCTGTAGATTATTATAATGACTTCAAAATAAGAAGTTAATCCCCTCCACCCTCTACCCACCCCCCACAAGAGAAATAGGAATGTGTGGTTTTATCAGTGATGTGACTGTTTATGATTAAGCATCTCAAATTGCTTAGAAAACTTCACTTCAAAATCTGTGTTCCTAACTGAACTAAGGTTAGAATTTAAGGTTTTCTGTTAGAATTACAACATGAAATACAACTGTGCTTTGAAGCTAAACAAGCAAGGAAAGAATTTCTTTATCTGCTTCATTTTAGAAAGAAGAAGTAAACGAATGTGGTGAAAGTACTGACAGAAATAATTTGAAACGGTCACAGAGCCATCTCCCCTACTTTACCCCTAAGCCACCTCCAGACAGTGCAGTCATCAAAGCTGGGTATTGTGTAAAGCAGGGAGCAGTGGTGAGTACCTTACGAGCGTATGTGTAACAACGAAAAAATGAGTCTGTTAGCAAACTCTCAGCACACGAATCATTTGCTTTGTTTTTCGAGAGATCCAAAGGGAGCCATGAACGTGCTCAGGAGTCAGGAGGTAGAATAGGGGTGATTCTGTGTTATTTTCTTGGTCTGTGGGTGGCTGGGTAAGTTAGTGCTGATTACCACTGACCTTCAATTTTAGATGAACTTTCCTAACACTTTAGATTTATTCCAGAAGGCTTTCCTACTGATCTTTCTCTCCCTTGGGAGTGGGTCAGAGAAAGAGAAGTCTGGCAGGGAGATATCAGGAAAAGAGGGGGCAAGGGAGTGGGGTGTGGAAGGCCTGCTTACTCCATTTGGTGTTGGGCTGACCTCAGTCGAATTCTCTGTGACCTTGGGCTTCTCATTTACCCTCTCAGGCTCTCTGTTCCTTTTCATGGAAAATTAGATTATAGAACCTACCATTTGGAGATACTTTGAAAGATGCAAATTAAGAGAGTATCTTAGCGACACCTGGTCCTTCCTAAGAGCTGTTAAGGGTTAGCTGGGTATTTCTCATCCAGCCAGACCCACAGCGGGAAATTGTAGGAAGGGCAAGTACGTTTACCAGTGTTTTCCAAGGTTCCAGAGTACCTTTCTTTTTTTTTTTTTGAGAAAGAGAGAAACAGAGTGTGAGTGGGGGAGGGGCAGAGAGAGGGGGAGACACAGGATCCCAAGCAAGCTCCAGGCTCTGAGCTGTGAGCACAGAGCCCGACGAGGGGCTCGAACTCAGGAACGGTGAGATCACGACCTGAGTCCAAGTCAGACGCTCATCTGACTGAGCCACCCAGGCGCCCCCAGAGTACCTTTCTAAAATCTGTCATCCTTTACGTGAACCAAATCGTTAGCATTTTGTGAGAAGATAAACTTTGAAGTTTGAAAATAAAAGTAAAAAAGTTTCTGTGAGTAAGGAAATACTTAAAACTCTGCCGGCAGTTCTGTCTGACTTCACGTCCCTTTCTGGCAACGCTAATTAGTGTAGGTCAGCCGTGGACAAGTTCTTTTATCTCTAAGCTCCTGACCTTGAAGTGGAGGGAAGTGAAGGGAGGGCCCGAGACTCACCCCTTGCAGCAGGTCTGCAAGGAACCTCAGAAGTTCCTCAGGCTGTGGCTCACTTGTGCTAATGAGGGCTTTCAGGGAGGGAGACCTTTCTTTCCTTCTGTTTCATTCCCAAGTCTAAAATAGCAACCCTTGGAGATACTGAAGTGCTTTCACAAAAAGTGTATTTCAGTGACAAAACAAATATTTGTACAAAGTGGGTTCATTTTATTAAATATTTGTTGCTTTACTACTAAGCACAAAGTACCTGCAGAAAGATTCTTGCATTTTACGGATTTTACAGAACTTAATGTGGTTTAATAACATTTCCTGTGCTTGCTCTTGAACTCTTGATGACATTTACTTTGTGGGGTTGGGGGATGGGGAAATGCTTTTTTTTTTCTTTCCTAACTTTTAGAGCATTAAACATAATGAAACCATATTCTGAAATTGTATGATACAACAAACTGAAGACTGGCCACCAAAGTTGAATTAGGCGCTTAAGGCCTGAGCAGTGGAAGAGATGATGTTTCATGTATTTCCTCACTAAGGGAGGGTAATGAGGTTTTTTAGGGCTTGCCATTTCTGATTATGGGTTCATATCAGAATAGGTAAGTGGCTGTTAACATTTGACATTCTTAGAAACAGAAGTCTTATGTCTGTGTTCATCTCTGGTAGATGAAAAACTGGAAGAGAAGATATTTTCAATTGGATGAAAACACAATAGGCTACTTCAAATCTGAACTGGTATGTTGCTGTGTCATAAATGTTGCTTTAAAATGTTTGAGAAGTATTATTCTGGTGATTGTGTGTGTGTGTAGTTTCTTGTCCTGTTTTCTATTTCTAAAATAATTCTGGTTTTGAGAAGCATATACAATTCACTTTATTTGGTTGTGATGTCTTAATGGTAATTTTGTAAATACATCTTAAATAAAAAGATCATACCTTCAAAGGCGTTCCACCTTGAAAGAATTAAAAACATCAGAACTCCTTCACCTGCCGATGTCCTCTGAAGGGCAGCTGGAGGAGATTGTAGGAAGAATTAAATCTCTAAAAGTCAACATTTTAACTCTGCATTTCTACCTTCTTTTCTCTTCCCTCTCTTGATAAATTTTTTTTTTTCCTATTGCAGATTGACTTTTCAAGTTTTTTCGTATAAGACCTTTTTGTCTTGTGGGGTAGAATCAAGATTGAAATTCCCTCTTTCACTTGTTCGAGTAACATCCTTATTTAAAATATTCTTGTCACATAACCTGAGTTCTGCCACAGATTGCTGGATAATTTGAATGCTTTTTTATTCCTTACATGTCTGTCCTACCTCCTTTTCTTTTATGGGACCTTTGAGTGGGGATCATATTCTTTATTTGAATGAAGACACCAGAACAGCTGGTGAAGACACCAGCTACTATCTGGTAGAACTTTCTACACTGATGGAAATGGTCCATATCTTCACTGACCAGGTTTACTGGCTACATGTGGCTGTTGAATGCTGGAAATATGGCTAGTATGACTGGGGAACCTACCTTTATTTCATTTTAAAATTAAAACTGATTGTTCTTTAGTATTTTTTTAATTTAAATAGTTATACATAGCTATTGGTACTATACTGGACAGCAGAGTACTCAGAGAACAGGAAAGGACTATTTTGCGATTCATCTCAGGTGTCTGTTCTTCTGGGAAGCTTTTGAACTCTGCCTTCTCCTTATACACCACGGTTCCTGAAGTCCACTTCTGTCATAATAACTTCCGGCTGCGTTTTGTCATTGTATGCATACCTGTCTTTAGCAGTTGACTCTACGAGCTTCTTGAAGGCAAAGATCTCTTTTATACCCTTTTACGAACACAGCACCTGATACTTGGTAGATAATCAAGAAGTCTTTTTGAATGAAGGAAAAAATGGCATAGCACACCAAGAATAGCCATTTTAGCACAGGGACCTTTCTCAGACGTCCAATTCGAAGAGCCTCAACGGGAAGTAGTAGTTACGTGGCTCAAAAAGTATCAGACGTGGTGTCTCAGAAGGCTGCACGTTTGCTTGGTTAGTAGGTTGATTCATTGCTTTAATTAATGATCGCACTCTTGGGGAGAGTCATTAATGCAACAGACATTCATTGAGCCCTCCGTGGCTCTGGCACACTGTTCCGGGAACTGGGAATAAAGAGAACAGCAGCGATGTTCTGGCCTTTGTCAGGAGTTCAGTTGTGCCAGAGAAATTGACATGCCCCCCTGTCACCCACAGTAATTATGAGACAAGAACTATTACGGAAATACTTGCTAAATTTTGAAAACCTGCATGTAGACGTTATGCTATAAAATTTGAGAGGAGAGAATACTGAACTAACAAAGGAAGCAGGGAGATTATGCCATGTGTATTTAGGAATGTGTTAAGCACTTAGAAAACTCAGATACAGCTGGAAACTTTAAACATATTATAATTACTTACCTTTATCAATAACTCAGGGGTACATTCCCACCACATGTAACATTTCTGAACGGCTGTCTTAGCTGCGGGGGAGGGGCAGTCAGGCAGCAGCTGTGGGGTAGTTGTCTTTGCTTCGTGCGCACAGCACCTCTGGGTAAGATCGGAAAACACCGGCACCAAAACCCGCAGAAGAGGGTGCTGGCAGCTTGCAAGAGAATCTCAGGGACACGGTAGAACGTTCTTAAGAAATGCTTCATCCCCTTCACTCTTTTTGACACAGAGAATGGTATGGAGTGAAAAACATTGACATTGACAATTGATGGCTCTGAGTCAAAAAGTGATTCAGAAGAGGTGGAATCCGAATGTGAAGTTTTAAAAAAACCTTAGTCACTTTACTTTTGCTTATGTACCTATATATGCTCAAGAATGATAAATGATAGAAGTTGATGTTTAGGGTACAAACGGGCTCTTTTATGAAACGTTTTGATCGTTAGAAGTTTAAACATACAGTAGATAGAATAGTATTCTGAACCCCTCTTATCAAGACATGGCTGGTTTTCTTAGGTACCACCACCCACTTCCCCTTTATATTTTGAAGTAAGTCCTAGACATATTATTTCATCTGTAATTACTTTAGTTTGTTTTTCTAAGAGATAAGGAGTTAAAAACTTTTTCAGTAGGTATGAAGGATTTAAGTGTATACCTGAAAACCTGGAGAAAGTATTTGTAATGTGTATCAAGGATAAAACATTGATATCCCTAAAGAACGTTAAAAATTGAGGGATTCTTCCTTACCCTCTGCCCTCTTTCCTCCCAAACAATTAAGACCTAAAATTTTTAGGTGAGGCAGATCAGTGTAGGCGTTCATGTGGTGGGACAGAGGCGCAAGGAGCTACAGTAGCCTGGGTGTGGGCAAGGAACCCAAGAAGGACGAGGAGGCTGTCCTCTTGGAGGATTAGCCCAACATGGAGTAGGGGGAGGAGGGTATTCAGATTGGGAAGAGGGTGGTGGCAGAGACGGGAGGATGTTTACATATACACTTGATAAAATAAGTAAATATGTTAGGGATCATAGAAGCCTAGTTTCTCACTGTCCAAAAAGGGAGTAACAAATAAGGAAAGGGAGAAGACTTTTTGTATTAGGTTGGAATTCAGTGTATCGATGTGAGCACTTAACATATACAGGTAGATGTAGAATTAAACAGAGCTGTAAACGTATTCATGGGTTTACATATATATGCATATAATATACTTCCTAGCTCCGTGCAACTGGAAAAAAACCCCTTTCCGTGGAAAGAAACCTGGGCTCTTGCAGAAATGGCAAGACTCCAAAGCTGAAACAGTGGAAATAAATAAAAAATAAGCCTGGAATGTCTCGTATCGGAAAACAAAGTGCTCACAGAATGCTAAGGACATGACAGAAGGACCCAGAATCCAACTTGAAAACAGCCGCCCTTGCCAAATTTGGGGGATTATTTGAGGCATCAAAATAAGTAATGATGGTAACAGATTATTGCCCTTTGAATAAAGTGGAAATCCATGAACCCACCCGGGAGAAATGGGTGGATGCATGAGTATACACGTGTGTTTGTGATGAGGAACCAGAGGGCACGTAGTTTCAAAGTCCCCATCCGCAGAATGCACATTAAGTACAAAAAGGGAAATGGTAACTTGATAGCGATAAAGATACCACTGGTAGATACCACTCTAAACAGGTGACCAGATGATTAAAGTGGACTTCGTCAGTGATGAGATGAATTAAAATTACTTCCCGTCTGACAGGATAGCTCGAGAAGGTTGCTGCCTCATTTCTGTGATGTTCCTGCCAAAGATGCCTGACCTGAATCTAATCCTGATGAAGGCTCAGACACACCCAAGTCAGGGACTTTCTCCAGAATGACTGCCTTGGAGCCTTCAGGAGAGTCAAGACTGTGGGAGTTAGGGACAGAATGACTGAAGGAAAGAAAGATATGACAAGTACATGCAGTCAGCGATTCTGAACTGAATTATTTTGCTTTAAAAAAAGACACTTGGGGGACACCTTCCTGATTTTGATGGTTCTGTTGTGATAACATAAAAGGATGTCTTTGCGGGAAATACACACTAAAGGGCCTTGGGGGCCAGGTCAGCAACTCACTCTGAAATGGTTCCGGAGAGTCAGGTCTTTGTGCTATGTTTTCAACCTTTGTCTAAGTTTGTGGTTGGTTCAAAGTTTACAGAGAGAGAAAACCAAGGGGAAAGTATCCAGTAGAAAAATGAGGAAAAGACATGAATAGACAGTTCCTTTATAAAGAAATTAAAATAGGGGCGCCTGGGTGGCGCAGTCGGTTAAGCGTCCGACTTCAGCCAGGTCACGATCTCGCGGTCCGTGAGTTCGAGCCCCGCGTCGGGCTCTGGGCTGATGGCTCAGAGCCTGGAGCCTGTTTCCGATTCTGTGTCTCCCTCTCTCTCTGCCCCTCGCCCGTTCATGCTCTGTCTCTCTCTGTCCCAAAAATAAATAAACGTTGGAAAAAAAAAAAAAGAAATTAAAACGGTCTTTAAACATATAAAAGATATTAAGTATCACTTGTAATTAGAGAAGCACACATTAAAACCTCACAGGAGTATTACTTCTCATGTATCGTGAGAAAGCCATGGCGGAGTGAAGAGATGAGTGGTCTTCTTCCCCCAAAAGCAAGTATAAACGCTATTCTTCAACAGGAACCGGGAACATTGGAGAGATGGCTGATGTCAGAGGTGGGGCAGGCACAGGAAGAGCTGGGCCCGGAAGATCCAGTTGTGACAGAAGATAAGGAAGTGGCTCAGCGAATGATGGGGACGTGACAGAAGGACACAACCAGCTTGAAGGGGCTCCTAGTACCCAAAACTCATATGGTTTGAGCACCAGAGTAAAAAATGATAGTAATGGATTACAACCCAGAGAATAAAACAAGTCAAATAAGTAAACAGAGAAAGAGAAGCATTTCCTTAGAGTAAAATTCCAACTAATACATGAATTGATGGGGCTGGAGACAAATCACCATTTGGCAGCTACTACAGTAATGATGGTTTCGGGCAAGAATTTTCGAAGCTTGGTAAAATTAGTGGGCAAAAGGATGGGAAAAGTGGGTATTCCATAGGCTTCGAGTGTCTCCCCACAAGATGTTTAATAATGGCAAAGGAGAAAAGGGTAACTCTCTAGTGACTGCAAACACGGCCTTACGAGATGAGGTGTAACACCCTAGTAATGGGACACACCCCTCTCACGCGCTCCCTGAGAATGATGCCCCGAGAAGAACGAAGTGCATCTGTAGTTTCCCCGCCAAACTGCATAGCCTGAATCCAAGCATGGTTAACATCATACAGAGCCAAATTAAGGGACGTTCTATAAAACAACTGGCCTGGACTCTTGAAAACTCTAAAGGTTGTGAAGGGGGTGGGGGGGAAGGCCTGCAGAACTATTCCACAATAAAGGACACGAAGAGATAGGACCACTAAATACAAGGTCTGATTCCAGATTGAACTCTGGAGCATCAAATCTATAGTTTTCCCTTCTATGTTAAGGATACTGCTGGGCAATTAATGAGATGTGAATACGGTTTTTAGATAATAGGATTGCGTCAGTGTGGAGTTTTTGGTTTCTGTGATTGTACTGTAGTTACGTAAGAAACATCCTTGTTTTAGGAAATATACACTAACATATTTAGTAGTAAAGCACATATCTATGATTTACCTTCAGACATTTCAGGAAAAATATATACACACATACCATAGTCACATACATGAACACAACAAGCAGAATGATTTAACAAACGTGAAATTTTAACATCTTGGAAAATGGGGTGCGATGTGTACAGAAATTCTCAGTCTTTTATAGTCTGAAATTATTTTAATTTTTTTTTTTATTCTTGAGAGAGAGAAAAACAGAGCATGAGCTGGGGAGGGGCAGAGAGAGAGGAAGACCCCAAATCCAAAGCCGGCTTCCGGCTCTGAGCTGTCAGCACAGAGCCTGATGCGGGGCTTGAACCCACGAACGGTGAGATCATGACCTGAGCCACGCAGGCTCCCCTATAGTCTGAAATTATTTTAAAAATGAACCATTTTGTAAAACTTAAAGACTGGTGATTTTTTAAAGTGTTCAGCCATGCTTTAATTTTTTCTTGGGGCTGCATCAAATAATGGCACTTTTTAATCTTACGGTGTGATACTCGGTGAAATATGGCATATAGTATTTCATGGCACGTGTAGTATAAACAGGCTATTGGGAACTAGTTGTGTCTTGTGTCTAGTTTTGTGACCTTGGGGTGAGGTACTTAATTAACGTGTGAGGCTCCGTTTCCTCAGGTGGATAGGAGTGCGTGTACTGTGGGGTTGTAGAAAGTTGAAGTGAGCTAACGTGTTTAAAAGCTAGCGGATGTCCTGGACTTAGTAAAAGTTCAGTAAATTGTGCTTGTTAAAATAACGTATTCATATAAAAGTGATATACCTAAAATGACAAATTTAACTCCGAGAAGCTGGGTATTTGCTACTCTGGTGCCTTCTACCTCAAAGTAACATTCCAGAAGAGGAAGTCTTCTACTTACGGGGTCTGCAAGGGTCCACTGGGGGAAAGTCTGATGATTTCATGGCTTTTAATCTACGCTGTCATTAAGGCCAGAAATAATGTGAATACGGGTTATGTGCCAGTTTCCGTGTTTCAGACCACAGTGTGCATAAGGTTATTCGGTATTTGGGCTGTTCTGATGCTGGATGGTTCAGGAAGGTAGATTCACGTCTCAGATGTGCTTCATAGAGATCTCCAAGTAAGACAACTAATCCTTAAAAGGACTTTAAGAATATACATCATGTGTCCGTGTGTTTTTTTGCCAGGAAAAGGAACCTCTCCGCGTAATACCACTTAAAGAGGTTCATAAAGTCCAGGAATGTAAGCAGAGGTAAGTAAGCACCCGCTGTCACTTAGTGCCTGCCGCAGCACTCTAGCACTCAGCAGGGCTTTAGTTTGGTTGGTGTGTACAGGTGATGTTTTCCTGGGTTATTTGTAGCATTACTTTTAACTCTTCCTAGTTGGGATATGCCAGGACTTACAAAATCCTCAAAGTATTGAGATATTTTTTTGTTTCATTTGAAAACTAAAAATTAGGCTTATTAACGGAAAGGAAAAATTTTAACGTGAACAACTTCTATCATATTTGACAGATTGATGTATTAGTAATTTAAGTATTTTGAAGTTGCTGCAGAATAGAGCTTTATAAGAAAATGTGGTAACTGTGCAGTGTTTCTTTGAGCAAACTGATTTATTCACAGTTGAAAACTTTGGATTTTAAACTTCTTTTATGAACCTCTTCTAAAAATATATATAACGTATAAAATATGTAAAATTAATGCAAAAATAAATTGGAAAAGATGATTTGGTTTTGCTAAATTACATCAACATTTTATCTCTGCTTGTTTTCTTATTGACATATATTTGGTACTAGATGAATGAGTGAAAGAAAAACTATCAAACAACTGCTATTTAAGTGCAATTGGACGTTTGTTTTTGTTAACAGTGACATAATGATGAGAGACAATCTCTTTGAAATTGTAACATCGTCTCGAACTTTCTATGTGCAGGTGAGAGTCTTCTTTGGAGATTATAGATCCTCCTAACAAGAGATTAATAATTTTAGAGGTGACATGAACAGAAATAAACTTACTGCTTATGAGGATAAGGAAAAATATGACAACTGTAATTCACAACTTAAAAAAATGTTATACATAAAATTATTGGTAGGTCATATGTTCAGCAGATAGGGGTACTCTTGGCTATGAATTCGTAGAGTAGAATTAGGTAGTATTTATGGGAAGGGAAATGCTGTTTTAACGTAGATGCTAACTTTCAATTTGGATTATTTTTGCACGTGTTGTAGAATTTTGACTGCATCATTTTTGGTAATTTTAGAAATGGGACTGAAAATCCCACAATAAAAGGAGACCGTAGATCTCACCAGTGGTAGATAGGCATCTTGTATTTAAGTTTAAAATACTCTTTTTAGTGTATTATTTAGATTGGAAGTTTTTCTTTTTTTTAAAGAACAGTTGTTTTTGTTTTATAAAAGCTACATATAATTATTGCAGAAAACTTGGAAAATATAGAAAGATATGAAGAAAGGGGTAGTTTATAAAACACACAGAATCTCACATTCAGGAAACCATTCTTATTATAGTGCCTTTTTTAAAGGCGTACATTTTTATAGCAAGTGGGGTCATACAAAGCACACGCAGTTATATTCTATTTAATATATTATAGTCATTTTTTTCCACATCATTAAAAATTCTGTAAAAACTTTTTAGAACTGCACCATACTCTATTATATGAATGCTCCACAGTTAAACTCTTTCCCTGCTACTCTGTTACTGATTATTTTTGTAGTTTTGTGTATTTACTATTATAAACAATGTGAGGATGAACATTTTTGTGCTTAACTTTGCCTGGATTTCTTCTATAGGTTAAGTTTCTAGATCAAGAATAACCGTCAGAACATAAAACCTTTTTAAACCCCCTCTTTTGCCAGATTGATTTCTAGATTTTTGCTTTACCTTTGCCTGCTCTGGGTTTTTCCTTTTAAAAGTCCTTATTAAAATCATTGGTTTGCAAGTATTCTCCTGTAGCTTAAAAGTTTTGAACAGAAGTAAAGGGAGGTATCTCTATACCCCTCTTAGGTTTTGTTTGGTTGGATTTAAAGTCATAATAAGGTTTTAATTCACGTTGGAAAGCAAGGTCCTGTCAAGGAATATGATACTTTGGAATATGACCACCAAAACTACTTTCAGTACTTAGTGTAGTACTAGAAATGATCTCTAGAAAAATAATACATAAACTTATGTCAAATGGCTTTTTAACTCCGCAGTTACATAAATACTCTTGTAGCAGAGTCAGACGATATAGCAGTAGACAGAGCAAAATGAGAAGCTTTGTCTTTGACTTCTTCCTCTCGTTTTCTCTCCAGAAGTATTCATATTGACTTTCTGATGTGTCTGATCTTAAAGCATCAAGTGCCCAACTTACGTCTCTGTAATAACTTACCCGGCAAAACCTGACTTAAAGTGACTCTAAAAGTTTTTGGAAACCATTGCCTTGGAATGATTTTGTTGTTGACACTGTAATTTACCAACATGAATACGTTGGATTTGTAGATGTAGGAGCTGATTTGGGGGACGAATTGACTGAATGAGTCCTTTCTTTCCCTTAGGCTGATAGCCCTGAAGAGATGCACAGTTGGATTAAAGCAGTCTCTGGTGCCATTGTAGCACAGCGGGGACCTGGCCGATCAGCATCTTCTGTATGTTTCCTGTTCTCTGGGGTGATACTCCCTAGGGTCCCCCCCATCCTGTCGAGTTATTTTCCTTCCTCTCCCCCTAATCCTTCTGGTTTCTTTCTGTATTGAGATTTATTTGCATGTTGACTTTCGTACCAATTGGACTTGCAAAAAAATAATGCATTTCTAATTTAATGCTTCCTTGTAGTGTTATGTATATATAACTTTCTGTGCATTGTATTGTCTTAAATGCACAAGCAGGGCAACTAAAGAATGAACGTTTCCTTGCTTTGTTTTAGGAGTTCTTACTTGTCAGTAGGTCTGGATTTGTTACAACTTGACAAATTCTCAGTACGGGATGTGGCCTAATCCTGTAAAGCGCCTTAAATTGTAGCATAACACAGTTTGGTGAAAGTCTCCATTTCTCCTCTACTGCCTCGAATTTCAGTTAAGGTGTTTTTGGCTTACTAGCACCATAAGGCCGTTGAATGGAGCAGCTGGAACCCGAAATACAACTTCGTGTTCTCCGTCACTATTTTCCATTGCGTGTCCTCGTTCTCATTTTCTGGTAGAGTAATTTAGAAGCCCGCTGCTTTTCACTATCATAATTGTCTCTGTGATGATATGAGAGTAAAACTGAAATGTTACACATTCTCAGAAATAACAAGAAAAATGTTTTTAATTTTTAATTTATCATGTTCAGGTACATCATAGGATAAGATTTGGCTGTAGGGCACTTTGGTCACTGCTTTCATCTGAAAACACAAATATTCTACTGAGGAATAGAAAAAAACATTTTAAGTGTCTTGAAATGTAGCACTTCTGTCCACAGAATGTAGTCTAACATGTAGCATGAAAGCCTTATATTACCTTTTACGGGTTCATTGTAAATGCCAGATATTCTGCGCTTTTGGTATTTTTCTGGTAGTTTCCTGGTAGTGATAAACTACAGATCGGTAAAAACAAATCCATGTTTCTCATTTCTTAAATGAGTCTCCTTATATCCTTTCTGGAATATCTTAGAAGTCACTTTCATACCTGTTAATTTTGTAACTGCCTGTGTTTTATGTGACCTTTTCAGCAGCCCAATATGAGACTCTCTGCAAAAACACTGTCTGTGGGGAAACAGGGAAACTTGGAGAAGGGCACTTGTGTTTCGTGCTTTGTGGTGGGGGCGAAGTGGACTCTCTAGCTGTAACTGTCGGCAGAACTTTCTCTTTTCCTCCCTCTCCTCAGTATAGGTTAACTCTAATCTTAGCTTTGCACTGTGTTCCAGATGCGGCAGGCCAGAAGGCTGTCGAATCCTTGTATACAGAGGTATACATCAAGAACTGGTGAATGCAGCACGTATGTGGGCTCTCACGCAAACGTGCCTTCTTACTAGAGGGCCCGGACTTAACTCACTACTCACAACTGATCGTAGAAAGTTGAGTTAACCAAACTGCCTTTTGCAGTTATCGTAACTGACTTTGTCAACACTAACGCAAACTATTTCCCTCTGGTCATCCGGTTGGATACGTATATTTAAACAACAACGAGGAAAGATAAATCATGAAAGAGCAATAGAACCTTACTAATTGAACAAGTCGCATTAAGCTGTCCTAAAAATTAATTTACCGAATTGCCACAAGTTTCAACTTCTGTATTTTATGTATTTTGAGATTTTTGATGCTACACCACTGCACTGCACCCTTGTTCTAATAATCTATGCAAACTCATGCACGCTTATGCATTGGATGAACTCCACGTTACTGTAGTTTGCATGGCATTTTCAAGCTCAGGCGAAATTTAGCCAGCTCGTGGGAATCTAGGGTGTTTTGTGAACTTGTAGCGCTTTGTTTTCAAAGCCGCGAGTGTCATACATGAGCACAGCACACCGGGAACTACATGGCAATGCATTTGGAACGGTCCTATTTAAGGATATCTTAAAGTTAGAAGCGAGTGGGAATTAAGAGTCACAACTGACCGTTATTTCGCCACAGATTTAATGAATGATTAAATATGTACCCTTTGCTGCCATTAAAATCTCAAGCCATGAGAATCAAGGACGTGTTCAAAACTGAATAAATACAGTTAAGAGGAAGTGGAAAGGCGGCACAATTATCCGCTGCCGTGAAACTCAGGGCAGAAAAACGAAGGTTGGTCAGACTGCCAGACAGAATCGTAGGCTTGAAAAATAGTGAGTTCTGCTTATTAAAAAAATAGGGCCTTTCATTTTTATATCCTGCATTTTTGTTTTTTATCTTTCTAAAATACGTGGGACGATCCCTAGTGTTGATCGAGAGACTAGAACACACTCTTACGTGACCCGACGCCACAGGGCCCTCTCACACACCCGCTCAGCCGCGGCTGCAGCGCCGCATTCCGGTGCAGGCCGACCAAGGCTTCGAGTGGCAGAGCTTTGGTGACAGAACTGGTTTCTTAGTGGAAATGGTTGTGGACTGTCCTTGCTTTAACCTCACTCCTAAAAATGCATTGCTTTGGGAAGGAACGTGCACACGTTTGCTGCATGGCTCATGCTTCTGCTCCGTGTGTGTGTGTGTTTTGTTTGTTTTTCAGAGAGTAAAGTCTCACGCTGAGTTACTAACTCCGTCGTTAATGTTTGACTGTGTCTGACGGCCTGTCCTCTTTCCAGGAGCATCCCAGCTGTCCTCCAGACCCCAAGCACGCTTTCCGCTCTGCCAGCGCCGCAGCCGCCGCCTCCCTTTGCACGGCCTCTCGCAGCAACTCTTTGGTCTCAAGCTTTACCGTGGAGAAGCGAGGATTTTACGAATCTCTTGCCAAGGTCAAGCCAGGGAACTTCAAGGTCCAGACTGTCTCTCCAAGAGAACCAGCTTCCAAAGTGACTGAACGCGCTCCGCTCAAACCTCCAAGTAAAACTGGCCCTCAGGATAAAGATTGTGACCCGGTGGACTTGGATGATGCAAGCCTTCCGGTCAGTGACGTGTAAGACGAAGCACGCGGGCCCCCCCCCCCCCCCCCCCCCCCCCCCCCCCCCCCCCCCCCCCCCCC